GGAGGGAGAGAAAGGCGGGAAGCAGTAACCTGGTATTGTTGAGACAGGTAAGATTTTAGAGACAGGGTGATATGATATGCTCATCTTACCTTGAGCAGGTGGAGCACCCATCATAGGGGTGGTGGAGATGACCTGTCCGGGGTACCCGTAGCCCATGTACGGACTGTTGGAGTGGATGTATCCCGGGGCTCCCACGATCGTCGTTGTGGACATAACACTGGGCGGCGGCCCGCGGGCCAACATCGTCCTGGCATCCTCTATAGCTATCTGCCAAGCTCTGCAGGGAGACAACAAGGAGAAAAACTTGTTTGAGTTTGAATAAAGAAAAGCAAAATGAAACAATAATAGTCATGATTTAGTAAAGAGCAACTGCTGGTGAGGGAAGCGTATGATCCCTCATAACCTATAATAAGCCCCGCCCACTACTCATATACTTGAAATCATATGTGAGGTGACTGGTCAATGTTTTGTTCAAACCTTATCTGTAACAAAGTAACAATGGATGTTGGCTTGAACTAGTGACGTTCTCAGAGTGGCAACCCAGTGTTTGCATTACCATGGCACTCGGTCTTCATCGTCTTACGTATTTCGTTTATTTTACCCTTGCACAAAATCAACAACAAAACATAAAAAGCTGACCAAAAAACCCAACCAATAAAATAACAACAAAAAACTCTTCTTGGACCACCCACCCTGATTTTTCAAAAGAAAACAAAAACCCTTTTGAATTATTAGCCTTATGGCTTACGGCAGTCCAAATTCTGAGATCAGCCCCTGTTTGAACCTCAGAAGAGAATGGTTTGCTTTCTTCATTTTTATTAGTCCTTCCTAAGAAATGAAACAATACTGAGGCACCCTATCACAGCTGATATATCAGCAATACGTCCGCGACGGGTGTGGACTCACGTTGATATTTCGGCGATACGTCCGTAAAGAGTTAAGAAGTAGACTCACCTCATATCATCAAAGGATTCAGCACAAAGCAGAAGGGAGTATCCCTCTCTTAGACTAAGCTCTAGAAAACATGCCTTGGCACTGCTCACGCCTTCAGGTGGGTTTGCTGGTCGACACTGTCAGAACAGAAACATTGATACCTTAAAATAACACGATTTGAACAACATTTGTGGCAGAGCAACAACAGATTTTTATAGGTCAAAAACAATAATGGATGAAAATAAGAGTGGAAGCAATTACATGATACGAGTTACTGGTCGATCTAAGCTACTAAAAAAAGGTGTGGCTTTAAAGTGAAATCAGGAATCCTTAAAAGTTTAATAATGAAATCAAAGAAAACAACATTTTTCTGCCCTTTGGGCAATTGTTATCTAATTTTTCTTTTTTGGTTCAACAACAGTTTGACCGCAATATCACTGCTTCTTACATCAGGTCCAGTCTTGATATGGGTCACTACTGCACGCACAACCAATCTCTCTTCAGCCCTTGGGGTGTCGGGGGTCTCGAAATAACGTAGGTCCCCCTGTCGGTCAAGAACGAACCAGCTCTTCTTCCATCTGCGCAGTACTGAGGCTGAAAATTGAAATACATTTGCTGATAAATTCTAAAGTTTATGTTTTTGTAAGAGTTTTACAGCACTTGCAACACAATAAGGTCATATAAGTGCCAAAGATTAGAAGTGTTACAAGATAGTAACAAACACAAAAAAGGAGGAAAGAACAGGACTCAGGATGATAGATGTTTGGTAGGAAAGAAAGAGCAAACCACACCAGAGTATCCACCAACCACCCGCGAATTTGAAAGGAAGGACAAAGCATGCATTTTAAACACACTAGTTGAAGAAAACAAATGACATAAAAAACTTACTAGACTCTAGGTACCAGTACAGTATTAACTAGGTAACTAGGTAGCTTTTCTAAGGGAAAAGACTTTAAAGATAATTATGATCAAGAGTTAGACTGGTCTGACAGTTTTAACAGTGACAGCAGTCATAATGAGCAATTCAGACTAGTCATGACGAAAATACTTTCGTTCCCACTTCATAAATCATAGATACAATACACTTGACCCCTTCATTGCCTTTTGCTTTTGATATTCTTGGTAGCGTTCGAGTTCTGAGAAAAAGAGCTGGCCGAAGGCCTAGATCTAGATTAGATCTAATATTTATTGTCATTTTCACACCTGATCCTGAGCCTCTTGAGTTTGAGTTTGAGGCTTGAGGCAGGCTGAAATGTAGATTACTAGAGAGATCTAGATGTATCGAGATCTAGATCTAGATCTAAAGTAGACTAGTCGGTGATCTTGTAGTTCCCTTCGCTAAAGTCCACAATCCATTTGTTTAGATCCAGAGAAGAAATCCAGAAGTCTCGATGACCAAATAATAGTAATACTAATTACTAATAGTAATACTATTTGAAACAGTAGGCTATACAAAGAGCAGGGATGCAACCTTACTGCAAAATATCAAAATAGGATAAAATTCTAGGGATCCTAGGTCCTATGGGGGCATGCTCCCCTGACCCCCCTCCTCC